ATAACAACATGCAAGCCACGACAGTACCAGTGGTGGAGACCACCTATAAGGTAAATAGTAATACCAGGTGCGTATGTACTCTTTAGAACAATCAACCTTAGGGAATCGAAAGGACAGCTTTTACCTAGGGATAAACCTCAGAAGCAGAAATGATGAGTAAATAATGAGCAACGAAAACTATTATACATAGGAAGGAAGTGGAAAGAACGCTGTTGCATTATGGGTACTACAAAGTCATGAAACAAAATGTGTTTGAACTGTTGACCAGAAAACTAACTTTCTCTGTAAACCTTACTCAAATCACAATAAAATATTAAAGCAAAGCAAAATAAATATTTGGGTTGCTTATAAAAGTCTTTAAAAGTATATACTCTCTCCCTTGGTTTTAATGTACATCCTATTTTGTTAAGTTTGTTTTTGATAAGTATAGAAAACCATACAATATTGCTGATATCTAAGATGTCATTAGTGTGAAAAGAATGCACCAGAGATTAGGCTGTAGTTTCCTTTCCAGAACCACTAGGTTCCTAGTTTTCACTGGATGTCTTGTTATTTGTCTATCAGTGTTAAGCAATTTCACAGATATATCTGGTGTTTAGTTGGCTTCTGCCTTTGCTTCCATTCTTTATTGACTCAATGAAATGTTTAACTATATTTCCCAACCAAAATATTTAGGAAGAATTGTCCTTATCACATCAATACGCTTATTTACAATTGAAAACAAATAGGACTAGGGTAGTTCTACAGATTAATTTGAACTACTTAAGAACTTTCCAAATCAATCCTTTCTTATTTGGGGGAGTGGAATTCTCCTTACTTTCGTTCCCTGATGAGAACTCATTTCTACTTTTCAATTGGTAGGTACAAAATTATTTGAAATTTTAGGAGAACATAAAAGTGAAAAGAATCAAGGATAATATGAACAAACACTGTATGAATTTGTACATTTGTTCAAATAAATGTATTAATTAGACCTAACACTTAAAAATGTAGAACAAATTAAAATTACACAACATGTATAATATATTCTTTAATGTACTTTTATCAGTGGTTCTTAATAGTGTTGAAGGTTAGTTTGAACTACAAGGTTGGCAGTTCAAACTCACCAA